CGGGGCTGTGGGGATCCCCCGCGCCAGGCGCTGCCCGGCTGGGTTCTTCCCGGGGGGGGGCCTCCCCCCCCACCCCTGTCTGCAGAGCCCAGGGGGTGAGTGACGGGGGTAAATCCCCCCCCCAGAGTGACATGGGGGTTGGGGGAGGATCCCAGGCCCTTAGTCACAGGGAGTAAATTCACACCCTGCCCCCCCCCCCCCCGACAAGAGTGACATGGGGGTGGGGGGAGGAAAAGGCTCCTCGGACTCTCCGCCCCTAAGTGGCTCCCGGCAGGTTCTTGGCGCTGGTTTAACCCGTGTCCAGACCCCCCGAGGGGCTTGGCCCTGGCTAGGTGCGGCCGAGGCTGAGCTGTGTCCGCACCAGGCCAGCCGCCCCCAGGGCAGCGATGGGTCTGTGAGTGGGGACAAGTCTTTAGAGGTGTTGTCCTAGGGGGGATGTGTCACCCCCCGCCCCAGCTCCGGCCATGTGCGCAGGGAGCGGTGGAGCCCCAGGATCTGTGCGTTAATCAGGGCTCGGTTTGGGGGCGAGCGCCCGTTGCAGAGCACAGACCAGCGGCTGCCTTTGTGCCCCTGGGATCTCCTGGGATTGCTGGGTAGGAGCTTCGGGATCCCCATGGGGGGTGTGCAGAGAGGGGCAGGGGCACGTCCTGCTTTTCCTGGCCTGGACGTGACTCTCCCATGGCGCTGACTTCAGTACTGGGAAAACTGGTTGAAACTATAATAAAGAACAATATTGTCAGACACAGAGATGAACATAATTTGTTGAGGAAAAGTCAACATGGTTTTTGTAACGGGAAATCATGTCTCACCAATCTACTTGAGTTCTTTGAGGGGGTCAACAAGCATGTGGACAAGGGGGATCCAGTGGATATACTGTACTTAGATTTTCAGAAAGCCTTTGACAAGGTCCCTCACCAAAGGCTCTTACGCAAAGTAAGCTGCCATGGGATAAGAGGGAAGGTCCTCTCATGGACTGGTAACTTGTTAAAAGATAGTAAACAAAGGGTAGGAATAAATGGGCTGTTTTCAGAATGGAGAGAGGTAACTAGTGGTGTCCCCCAGGGATCTGTACTGGGCCCAGTCCTATTCAGCATTCATAAATGATCTGGAAAAAGGGGTAAACAGAGAGGTGGCAAATTTTGCAGATGATACACTCAAGATAGTTAAGACCCAGGCAGACTGTGAAGAGCTACAAAAGGATCTCACAGAAATGGGTGACTGGGCAACAAACTGGCAGATGAAGTTTGCTATGTTGATAAATGCAAAGTAATGCACATTGGAAAACATAATCTCAACTATAAATATACAATGATGGGGTCTGAATTAGCTGTTACCACTCAAGAGAGATCTTGGCGTCATTGTGGAAAGTTCTCTGAAAACATCCACTCAATGTGCAGCGGCAGCCAAAAACCGAACAGCATGCTGGGAACCATTAAGAAAGGGATAGATAGATGTCTGTGCCTCTAAGAACCCAGCCCTGGGAAGCCGATGTTGAGAGGTGCTGTCTGTGAGAGGGGAAATAAAAAAGCCCCTTAGCCCCGCACCATTTTTGCAAACACTGGTGTCTCAGTCGCACTGGGGTAACTGCTACCCCCTGTGCCCTGCCTGTGCCGGGTTTTGCCTCTGTCACCCTCTGCCAGCGCCTCGCCCTGAGCTTAACTCCTGCTCCTCCCCCCAGCTCTGATTTTCCCGTTAGCCCCTCTCCTAATGCTGCCTCCAGTTGCCTGACCCCCCGACCAGTTAATTTCCACCCCCTGCTCAGACCCGGACACCCCCCTGCTCCGATTCGCCCCCTTTGCCCCTTTTTAACCCCTGTCAAAAGCAGTCAGCAGAATCCTAGGGCAGATAAGGGCAGGGGGAAGGGCAGCGGCTTCATCAGATGTACTGAGCATGCTCAGTGCACCCCAAGTAGCACATTCCTACACGGAGCAATTTAATACGCTACACCTGCGGCTCTGACCCCCCCGTCTCCCCGCAGACCCGCACTCGCTGCGCTATTTCTACACAGGGGTGTCGGAGCCCGGCCCGGGGCTGCCCCCGTTCATCACAGTCGGGTATGTGGACGATCAGCTCATCGATCACTACGACAGCGAGCGGGGGAGCGCGGTGCCGCGCGCGGCGTGGATGGCGCGGAACCTGGACGCGCAGTACTGGGACCAGAACACGCAGATCTCCCAGGGCGCGCAGGCCGTGTTCCGGGTGGACCTGAACACCCTGCACCAGCAACCAGAGCGCGGGTGAGTGCGGGGCCCGGTCACTGCCCCAGACCGGACCCGGGGCTCGCGCTGCGGGGGGGGGCAGAGGGGCTCACAGCAGGGTGGGGGCTGGGGGGTCAGTGTGGGGGGATCGGAGGAGGGGGACCCCCAAGGGGGGTCAGTGTGAATTGCAGGAAGGGGACAGAGGGACTCACAGCTGGGCAGGGGATGGGGAGGTCGTGGGGTGGGGGAGTGGAGTAGAGGGACTCACGGGGGGGGTTAGGTCAGGCAGGTCGGTGTGAACACAGGGTTCCCGTGGGGGTAAGGGTGGGGAGGGTGGTATGAATGGGGGAGGGGATGGAGGCAACTGTGGGTGGGGTAGCGTCGGGGTGGGGTCAGTGTGAACAAGAGCACCCGACAGGTGGGTGCTGGTGTGAATGTGGGGGGAGGGGACAGAGGGACTCTCATGGAGGGCAGTGTGAATTGGGGGAAAGAGACAGGACCCATGGGGGCACTTTCTCATGGGGGTCAGTGTGAACGTGGGGGGCAGATGGACTCATGGGGGTGCTGCAGGGTGGGGGGGTTCATGTGAGACATGTTTGACACCCTCCAAAGTGTGACTCTTGCTGTCCCCTCCCAAAACACCCAAGAAGTCTGCTACCAGCCCCACTTCCAGCTGCCTCTGCCCCCCTTCGGGGCCCCCTGCCCCCCAGTCTGACTGTGGTCAGTCCCAGGCAGAGCCTCACAGGTGCAAAGGCCAGAAGGTCCCATCGGACCCAGGCTAGTCCGGCCTCCTGGTCACCGTGGCCAGAAAATCCCACCTGCAGATCCTGCCTGCGGGGGCTGTTCCTCCCTGCTGGGACAGCGCCACTGTCCGACCCCCAGTGTGTGGGTGAGCTGGGGCAGGGTCTGAGCCGTCTGGTCTCCAGTCACAGACACCGTGTGATGGGGAATCCCAGTATCGACAGCCCCAAGGCCGAGCGCTGGGACAGTTTGTACAGTGGGGGCTGAGAGCCATTGAACCAAACTGTGACCCCTGGGTATGGTGGGATCCACTTCAAGCCAGGGGGTGCATCAGCCCCCCAGCCCCCCTAGTGCCAGCCCCTCTGCCCCAAGTGTTCAGAAGTCAGGCTCCACAAATCCGGAGTTTGGCTTAAATACGAGAGTTTTGTGGTGATTCTGTTGGCGGTTCCAGCAGAGCCCCGTGTATCTGATCCTAGCTGGGATCTGGAGCGAGATCAGATCATCAGAAATCGGGATAACCCGGAGAATGGGGAAATGCCACAGGGCCAGCTAGCGGCCACGGGAGAGAGCTTCCGCTCTGACCCTGGCGTCCTGGGTGTCCGGTTAATGCAGAGAGCTGCTAATGGTGGGTAAGATAAACGGGGTTCTGCTGTCTTTTTATTTGCCTCTGGTTTGTGCTTTCAGGAGTCAAATTTCCAGGCTTTTCTCTGCCGCTAGGAGGGCTAGAACTTACAGCGGTAAGGGAGAGCTGAGACTCCCCCTAATTCCAGGAGTCCAGGCGCTGGGGCTTCACCAAACCCACCCAGTAGCATGAGAGGCACAGTAAAGTCAGGCGAGCGGCAGCGCTGCATTCACCCAGCCCTGGGGAGAAGCTGCTCGGCAGGGAGCCTCCCTAGGAGGAGTTTTGTCTTGTTCCCAGTCTGAGTTTATCGACAGTCGGTTCCTCTCCCCGGCTCAGAACCAGGGTCTCACATCGGCTCGGGCTGGCGGGTAGAGAATCAGCCCCTGTAACGTGCAGAGACTCCCCGGCTGTCTGACTCCTGCCAGCACAAACTCCAGCACGTGTCCCCCGATTGGACCCCCCCGGGTGAGGCAGGTTCCCCTGCACGCTATCGATAGAGGGTAAAGAGCCGTTCCTCCGGCTGGGTCCCCGGGGGGGAGAGGGGGGGAGCTAGCCACCTGACCAGGCCCCGGGATTGTGCTGTCTCACGTCGCACGTTGTGATCCATAAGCGTTCAGTGCCGGGCGCTGCTGACCCGTCCCGGGGGGGGTGTCCCTGCTGCGCTTTCTCCCCCTGGGCCTGCCCTGCCCTTCCTGAGCAGGGACTGTCACTGCCCGGTCCCATGACCCCCATGTCCATGATACCGGTGTTGTACTTAAAGTACTGCACAGGATCTTTTCAGGGGGAATAAGGCAAAACGCCACATTTATTAGTAATACATGTATTCATTAACACTGTATTATATGCATATAATATATTACACACACACACACACAAACACACTCCGTCTTGTTGTTACCAATTAGTTGCTCCCCTTAACTTCACTGGCCAGGTGAGTTAGATGGGGGAGGGGTGGAGCCGGCGTTCTGCTGATCCGGATCGATGCTCCCATGTTGACAAGACGAGACCCGGGGTCTCTGCAAGACACCTCACTTTTATAGCAGCTTTTC